AACCTAATATGTCAGCCAGGTAGGGGTTCCCTGTCAAGCATAATATGTCAGCCAGGTAGGGGTTCCCTGTCAAGCATAATATGTCAGCCAGGTAGGGGTTCCCTGTTGAGCATAATGCCAGCCAGGTAGGGGTTCCCTGTCAAGCATAATATGTCAGCCAGGTAGGGGTTCCCTGTCAAGCATAATATGTCAGCCAGGTAGGGGTTCCCTGTTGAGCATAATGCCAGCCAGGTAGGGGTTCCCTGTCAAGCATAATATGTCAGCCAGGTAGGGGTTCCCTGTCAAGCATAATATGTCAGCCAGGTAGGGGCTCCCTAGTTGATAGGGGTTCCCTGTCAAGCATAATATGTCAGCCAGGTAGGGGGTTCCCTGTCGAGCATAATGTGTCAGCCAGGTAGGGGTTCCCTGTCAAGCATAATATGTCAGCCAGGTAGGGGTTCCCTGTCAAGCATAATATGTCAGCCAGGTAGGGGCTGACATATTATTACCTTGCTACAGTAATTAAAATGTCTGTACAGACAGGTTGACAATTTCAACTATAATACCGGCCACACGTATTTTATATAAAATAGACAATTATTATTATTGTATATATATATTGTATATATTATACACTGCTCAAGACTGGCACTAACCATGTGGGGTGTCCGCTGGAGCTGGCAGAGCGGTACGACACGTTTTCCACACTGCTCACCGCGCGTACGGAGCAGTGTTCACTTCTCTTTTGGTCACCACTGTAGGTCACCACTGTAGGTCACCACTCTAGGTCACCACTCACTACAATACATTTCCACCACTAGTATATTTGTGCTCCTGGTTTTAATACACAAATAAAATCTTCCTTAGCAAATATGTGCATTCATTCATCAAAAATTATTGTTATAAAAGGGAGAAAACTTGTGGTCACTATTGATGGGGCATCATGCTTAACTTTTGTGTATGTTGTCTGTAGACATATAGCGGCCAGGGAAGCCTTCCTGGTGAATGAGATGAGTCAGGGAGGCGCACCTTGACGTGAGTCACTGAGGAAGACCTGAGCAGGAGCAGGAACTGACCTCACACCGTCACAAACACACACATACTGAAAGCCGTCTTGATGGACCAGGCCTCTGCACCCGCCCACTGGATCTCCAACTCCGTCTTTTATGTTACCTTCTTTGTAATATTCCAAGCTATCCCCGGTCTCATATTTCATAAATTATTAGCTTCTTTTCCCTCCAATAACTGGCCCCTACAGGTGATAGTAGAGAAACATTGTTTATATTAATAAGCTCGGCGTTGTACTCCTTCATTCATATGACAATGTGGTATTATGGGGCGAGTTGCCAACGGCCTCCACACAACCTCGGGCATGTCATCGAGTATGAATTTGCTGTAATTAACCTTCAAGACAATCGCCACATTGATTAAAATACAGTATCATGACTGTATGACGCTATCAGTTCAACTATCCATGAGAACAAATACACAACAAACTATAAACTGGGCGTCAGGGCTACACCACAACTTGTACTTTCACCCAGACGCATCTGGCAAATACCGTCGAGTACCTGAGACTTATGATAACATGGCTATCTATCTCACTATTACCTACGTACAAATGTATGATGTAGCTGCTACTTACCTCATGAGCTACGACTCGTGTTGGCACGTAGAAACCCGAGAAACATCAAGCTGTATAACCAATATATGTTACTTAATTAAGGATTAGTATGTCAGGGTTGTGCTGAGCAAGGTCTCCCAGTACCTACTTGTGTTGAATAGCATAATGGGTACACTCTCCAGGTCTTGTGTTGTGTTGGCTACACTCTCCAGGTCTTGTGTTGCGTTGGCTACACTCTCCAGGTCTTGTGTTGCGTTGGCTACACTCTCCAGGTCTTGTGTTGCGTTGGCTACACTCTCCAGGTCTTGTGTTGCGTTGGCTACACTCTCCAGGTCTTGTGTTGCGTTGGCTACACTCTCCAGGTCTTGTGTTGCGTTGGCTACACTCTCCAGGTCTTGTGTTGCGTTGGCTACACTCTCCAGGTCTTGTGTTGCGTTGGCTACACTCTCCAGGTCTTGTGTTGCGTTGGCTACACTCTCCAGGTCTTGTGTTGCGTTGGCTACACTCTCCAGGTCTTGTGTTGCGTTGGCTACACTCTCCAGGTCTTGTGTTGCGTTGGCTACACTCTCCAGGTCTTGTGTTGCGTTGGCTACACTCTCCAGGTCTTGTGTTGCGTTGGCTACACTCTCCAGGTCTTGTGTTGCGTTGGCTACACTCTCCAGGTCTTGTGTTGCGTTGGCTACACTCTCCAGGTCTTGTGTTGCGTTGGCTACACTCTCCAGGTCTTGTGTTGCGTTGGCTACACTCTCCAGGTCTTGTGTTGCGTTGGCTACACTCTCCAGGTCTTGTGTTGCGTTGGCTACACTCTCCAGGTCTTGTGTTGCGTTGGCTACACTCTCCAGGTCTTGTGTTGCATTGGCTACACTCTCCAGGTCTTGTGTTGCGTTGGCTACACTCTCCAGGTCTTGTGTTGCGTTGGCTACACTCTCCAGGTCTTGTGTTGCGTTGGCTACACTGTCCAAGTCTTGTGTTGCGTTGGCTACACTCTCCAGGTCTTGTGTTGCGTTGGCTACACTCTCCAGGTCTTGTGTTGCGTTGGCTACACTCTCCAGGTCTTGTGTTGGCTACACTCTCCAGGTCTTGTGTTGCGTTGGCTACACTCTCCAGGTCTTGTGTTGTGTTGGCTACACTCTCCAGGTCTTGTGTTGCGTTGGCTACACTCTCCAGGTCTTGTGTTGGCTACACTCTCCAGGTCTTGTGTTGCGTTGGCTACACTCTCCAGGTCTTGTGTTGTGTTGGCTACACTCTCCAGGTCTTGTGTTGTGTTGGCTACACTCTCCAGATCTTGTGTTGTGTTGGCTACACTCTCCAGGTCTTGTGTTGTGGTGGCTACACTGATGAGACAGTCCCTGGACCGTCTGAGTCTGTCTCAACAGTTCCTGGACCGTCTGGGTCTGTCTCAGCACAGTTCCTGGACCGTCTGGGTCTGTCTCGGCACAGTTTCTGGTCTGTCTCACATACCTTTGGGTTATATGTAATCAGGAGCAGACAGCATTTTATTTTATTGATTTATTTAAAAATTTCCAAATACTGTACAATGGATTATACATATATACCACCTCTGGGCTGGAAGAAGGGGACCCTTAGCCTCGGAGAAAAGCACACAGAACGCATTAGAGGGAATTTTTAGGTCCCCTTCAATACTGTTTCTATGTTCTTTTATCCTACCAACCCCTTCCTGTTATGCATATATATATATATATATATATATATATATATATATATATATATATATATATATATATATATATATATATATATATATATATATATATATATGTCGTACCTAGTAGCCAGAACTCACTTCTCAGCCTACTATGCGAGGCCCGATTTGCCTAATAAGCCTAGTTTTACTGAATTAATATATTTTCTCTAATTTTTTTCTTATGAAATGATAAAGCTACCCATTTCATTATGTATGAGATCAATTTTTTTTATTGGAGTTAAAATTAACGTAGATATATGACCGAACCTAACCAACCCTACCTAACCTAACCTAACCTATCTTTATAGGTTAGGTTAGGTTAGGTAGCCGAAAACGTTAGGTTAGGTTAGGTTAGGTAGGTTAGGTTGTCGAAAAAACATTAATTCATGAAAACTAGGCTTATTAGGCAAATCAGGCCTTGCATATTAGGCTGAGAAGTGAGTTCTGGCTACTAGGTACGACATATATATATATATATATATATATATATATATATATATATATATATATATATATATATATATATATATATATATATATATATATGCGGAAAATCCACAGAATCTGTGGAGTCTCTGGATTCTCTGTGCGAAATATCTGTGGATTTTCCGCATACAAATGATCAGTGTTTAGTGATCGTCAATTGCATATATATATATATATATATATATATATATATATATATATATATATATATATATATATATATATATATATATATATATATATATATATATATATATTGGTGTATACTGGCAGCAGGTTTTCTTTCAAACATGTTTCATTGAATATGACCGCATATTCTGTATTTATTATTTTCTGGTTTAGGGCTTCTATCCCTCTAACTATTTTCTTAGCATCAGGGCTTAATTGAAATAGGAGTTCTCCAAAACTCATTTTCGTACTTTTAAGGTGAAGAAAAGAAGTGATTTACTATAGAGTGTATTACACTTATTTGTATAATTTGTATGATTCCTAGGAATCACATGAGACAAGCCCATGACATTACTCTAACAAGAGAAATGTTGAACAAGAATACTTGCATAATAGACAAAACCCAAGATTCAAGAAGATTACAAATTCTTGAGGCAATTCACATAAGAATAGAGCGACCTACCATGAACACCCAAATCACGGAACTATTTACTCTACCCACCATGAGAGTAAGGACAAGACAAGAACATATCGATGCCAACACAGAAGACAATGTCCAACATAACAGGCCAATTACACTGGATTAATCTTTGTGTTTAGATAGGAGATGCCTCGTATGGGCCAATAAGCCTTCTGCAGCCTCTATGTTTCACCTCACATTTATCCCCTATGTATCCCCCCATGTTTTCACCTTCATTGTATTATCACCTGACCTAATGCGGGTATAAAATCAACTAGTATTGTAAGATCTGTTCACTTGAGAATGAACCATGGAGGTTCGAAACGTCGTGCAAATTATACAAATAAGTGTAATACACTCTATAGTAAATCACTTCTTTTCTTCACCTTAAAAGTACGAAAATGAGTTTTGGAGAACTCCTATTTCAATTAAGCCCTGATGCTAAGAAAATAGTTAGAGGGATAGAAGCCCTAAACCAGAAAATAATAAATACAGAATATGCGGTCATATTCAATGAAACATATATATATATATATATATATATATATATATATATATATATATATATATATAAATAATATTATAATTCAGTGGTACATTCTGACAAGGCCACTAACACGAGAAGGGTTTTGGGCAAGTCTTAACACTAACACAGTAGCCAAGGTGCGCACTGTCAGCTTGTAGCGACTTACAGGTTACAAGTTAAACAATCTTAAACAAATTAATAATCTAAGAGATTGAGATATATATTATTAAGTTTGTAATGATAAGCAAGTTACACGGCGAACAGTCAATTATAAACAAATTATTATTGATAAGTAATTGATTTATGCATTGAAGGTTTAACAAGTACAGTACATTGAACTACATATGTAGTAATTTAGACTAGACAATATGTTGTACATAACATGTAGTAGGCAGGTACTTACAATTCACATCCACGTAATGACTACAAGTGGAGTTACAGGTACGAGGCTTCCTGGGTTTGGTTTGGGTATTGGACTTCAAGCAACTAGCTAGCAACCGCGGCCAGGCTTGGTAACAATACCACAATAACTTATACCGACCAACCAGTTCTGGACACAGAACTCACAGTGTAATATACACCGGTAAATGTATATACCCCTTGTGCTCTCGGACACATTAACAACTTAGTTTCCGTAACACGAGGAAATATTTATGGACATTATGTCCTCCATAATGTACGATAGTGAGGGCATTGTGTGCCTTTTGTTTTACTTTGAAGAAAAATGTAGGTTTAACAATTCGTTACTTCATTAGATAAGGGCATTGTGACGGGAAAGCGCCAAGCCAGAATGACTATATAACACTTGCAAAGGATATGAGGACAAGGAACTGGGAAATGAAGGCAAGGAACGGGAATATGAGGACAAGGAGCTGGGATATGAAGACAAGGAACCGGAATATGAGGACAAGGAGCTGGGAAATGAAGACGAAGAAGCTTAGGATGGGGCGGAAAGAACAGTGTCCGACCACTTGAACCATTGAGGGAAAAAACGCCGACCTGCAGTAAGCGAGACCTTCGTTATACCGACCAGTCCAGAGTTCCATACATCAGGTCTCTTGCTTACAATATGGTGTGTTTAGTCGGACAAGGAAAAAGCATAATTACTTTCTCCCATCAAATTACAGCTGCGTTTGGTGCATTGTTGGTCAGTGGTTCGTGCTTGGGAATACTTCCAATAACACAACCTTTAAACTCGTTGGACGATGATATATTCATGTAGTCACCCATCAAGTTGCTTGCCAGACCCAAAGGTTCTTAACGTGGCTGATCAAACGTTGAGCACATCATTCTTCGCTGACGAGGCTTCCAATTCATCTTTATCAAAAGTGAATCTGCAAGATGTAAGAAAGTATTTAATTGATTTCGAGACACAACGTATCGTGTTGCATCCTACACCATCGCCAAAGTGCACAGAAGCCCAGCCACGGGAGCACAAGGTGCACAAGACCAACCCGCCCTGTTAACAATGAAAACATAATTGATGATGATAAGACTGTAAACAATGTAAACAAATGCCTATGGTAGCTGCTATGGTTGGAGTGTACACAATGTACAAGTTTGTACACGTATAATGCTGTGGCAATTCTCATCCAGGGTTGCCAGATCTAAATTGCTGAAAGTAGCGAGCTGACGGCCTAAAAGTAGCGAACTTGTAATAAGAGTAGCCCAATTTTTTTTAGTGAATGATATGGGTTTCAAAGTAATATATTTTGATATATAGAGTACACTACACGATGTTAATTGTTTTATTAATATTATTTCTGCACATACACACACACACATATATATACTGTGTATATATATATATATTATATATATATATATATGTCGTACTTAGTAGCCAGAACTCACTTCTATGCCTACTATGCAAGGCCCGATTTGCCTAATAAGCCAAGTTTTCATGAATTAATTGTTTTTCGACTACCTAACCTAACCTAACGTTTTCAGCTACCTAACCTAACCTAACCTATAAAGATAGGTTAGGTTAGGTTAGGTAGGGTTGGTTAGGTTCGGTCATATATCTTCGTTAATTTTAACTGCAATAAAAAAATATTGACCTCATACATAATGAAATGGGTAGCTTTATCATTTCATAAGAAAAAAATTAGAGAAAATATATTAATTCAGGAAAAGTTGGCTTATTAGGCAAATCGGGCCTTGCATAGTAGGCTGAGAAGTGCGTTCTGGCTATTAGGTACGACATATATATATATATATATATATATATATATATATATATATGTCGTACCTAGTAGCCAGAACGCACTTGTCAGCCTACTATGCAAGGCCAAATTTGCCTAATAAGCCAAGTTTTCCTGAATTAATATATTTTCTCTAATTTTTTTCTTATGAAAAGATAAAGCTACCCATTTCATTATATATGAGGTAAATTTTTTTTTATTTTAGTTAAAATTAACGTAGATATATGACCGAACCTAACCAACCCTACCTAACCTAACCTAACCTATCTTTATAGGTTAGGTTAGGTTAGGTAGCCGAAAAAGTTAGGTTAGGTTAGGTTAGGTAGGTTAGGTCGTCGAAAAACAATTAATTCATGAAAACTTGGCTTATTAGGCAAATCGGGCCTTGCATAGTAGGCAAAAAAGTGCGTTCTGGCTACTAGGTACGACATATATATATATATATATATATATATATATATATATATATATATATATATATATATATATATATATATATATATATATATATATATATATATATATATATATATATATATATATATATATATATATATATATATATATATATCATGTTAAAGACTGTACCTCTCTCAACCAGTTTAAGATAAAAATTAAGCACTACCTAATAAATTCCCTGTAACCTACCTTACCCCTATATTGTCAGCCCATGTCTGTTATTTTTAAACAATGCTGTTTGTCGACCTAATTGTATTCTTGTATTGTGATTTGTGTATTTGTACTCACTGAATTTGCGCGCCCCTTGAGGGACTTGAAGTAAAGGGGGGGGGGGGGTAGAAATAGCCTAAGCTACTCTATCCCTTTGAGATGTATTTTTTCATTGTCTCAATAAACATACTTGAACTTGAAGAGTGGACTTTAATGTTTTTTCGGCAGCTTTATTTCCTTAGTTTCTGAGCTGTTTTCTTTACTGTGTATGTTGTAATAAACTATTCCTATATTTACAGTTGTTTCTCCCTGTGAAGATTATTAAACAATGGTGATTATAAGGGCGCGGAAGTTCAGCCTGGCCAGGGCCGCCAGCAGCCCTTGGGCCCGCCCCGGCAGCTCCCAGTCTTTAATTTGGCACCTTTTTGGCACCTTTGTGGGACCTTGGTATAAGCCTAACATGTATATACACACTGGCTGCCTGTCCCCCTACACAATGATTTATTATTACCTATTATTTTGTCATTTAATTTAAATATAAAAAAAATAATTTATTTAATTATTATAGTAAGTACTTAATAATTTATTTAATTATTATAGTAAGTACTTAATAATTTAATAATAAGTAGTAAGTACATAAAAATGATTAAAATGTACAGTTTAGTCATAGGAGATTCCTAGATTGGAATTCACTACCAAATTTCAATATATCCAAGTATTTTTAGCGTGAACTGCTGTTATTATATGCATAAATTGTTGTTTTAATAATATTACGCTTATCCACTTGGGCTGGACGATAGAGCGATGGTCTCGTTTCCTACAGGTCCGCGTTCAATCCCCGACCGCCCAAGAGATTGGGCACCATTCCTTTCCCCCGTTCCATCTCAAATCCGTATCCTGATCCCTTCCGAGTGCTATATAGTAGTAATGGCTTGGCGCTTTCACTTGACAGTTCCCCCACCCCCCTGAATAATATTACGAGAGCAGTATTTACGGGCTATTCATGCCCGTGCCACCTCTTGGGTGGCTTAATCTTCATCAATCGAGAGCAGTACGTCCTAACCAGACGTTATATGATGATATCCTGAACAGTTGATAAATAAAAGTAATTGCGGAACTCCAGTTATCTAATACTTATCATAAATGGTATAAAAACCTTATTATAAGCCAAGGGATTCGTAGATCAGTGTTTAAAGGGAATTCGGAAGTAATAATAACACAGCTGATGCCATCTGTGGGCAGACGAGAACACTATCAACTGGCAGGTCAATAGTGGCCATAAGATACAGCTTACGCCATCTGTTGACATCAAATTACACTTATAACAAATTACCCTGCAAAATACAACTAGCGCCATCTCTTTTTTTTCCAACGCACTATAAATAGCCGAACAGCAACCCATAAGGCGGGTTGTTGTGCTCGGGTAGGAGGTTCCAAGCTCCGCCCCAAGATGGTACAAGGCACTTCTGGGAACAAAATTCAAACTGCTCTTAACATACTTGGTACAACCTGTCACAAGTTAGGCTTAGTTATAAATGCAGATAAAACCAAATACGAGTATAGGAAACGAAGAAATATAACACTTACTCTAAATGGTGTGGAACTGAGCCGTGTTCAGAAGTACAAGTATCTGGGCATGTATGTTGGATACACATGTGAGAGTAAAAATGCTGAAATAAATCATATCAGCACCTTATGTAAAGCCCGTCTGCATCCTCTAAAAGCACTGGCTTTTTCTGGTAAAGGTGTTGGGGTACCTATCTTGCGGATGTTATACATAAGCACTGTTCGATCCCTGATAGACTACGCAGCACCCGTATTGTCTTACACAGGCCAAGGCAGAATTAAAAAAATAGAGCTGATACAGAACGAGGCTATGAGGATTATTCTTGGATGTCAAAGAAATGCAATGATTGAAATAATGAGAATGGAATTAAATTTACAGAGTGTGTGTGATAGAGTCCGTGACATTAACACTAGAGTATCTATTCGTTTCATGCGGAGAAAAGGAGGGGATAAGCTGTTTGAGAGCGTTCAGACCTGCTTGAGTGACGTACACACTTCCAGGAAACTGAGGGAGACACGCTACACGAGGGGATTAGCTCATGACCTCAGGGAATACGACGTACTTGACTGCTGTAAACCCTCTCGACAGTGTAATATGTCTGCTCCCTGGAAAGTACAGAAAATAGACGTCGAAATTGTACCCCTCAAGGCGAAAAAGATTCATGAACCGGGACAATTACGGTGTTTGTATGGAAGCATGATATCTCGGTTACCAAGAGGCAACAGTTTACATGCATATTGCGACGGGTCGGTGGCGAAGGATGGCAGGGCCGGGTGTGGTGTCCTAATAAGGGATTATACGGAGTTTGGGACTGTGGACAGGATAATTGAACTCCGGCTTAGTAATTATATATCATCCACACAAGCTGAACTGCAGGCCATTCTGGCGTGTTTGGAGGAAGTACGTCATGACGACAAAAATGTTTTTGTATTTGTCGATAGCCGAGGAGCACTGGAGTCCTTAAACAGTCGAAACCCAGTCTTCATGTCTATAGTTGAGGACTGTAAGAGAAGAATAACTGAGATACAGCTGAAAGGTTATAGTGTGAAATTCATGTGGATTCCATCTCATGTTGGAATAGTGCTCAACGAGGTGGCGGATGACTTGGCCAAACGTGCCACATCAAAACCACAAGTTGACATTGAATGTGAATTCACAATGAGACAAATAAGAAGCAAAATCAGAAATATTCAGGCACAGGCGGGAGTGGAGAGGAGAGAGATAATGTATGAGAGTAGTCAAACCATGCAACACTACATGTGAGTCAAAACACCCATTTCACTTATGGTAAAAGGAGAAATGCTTGGAGTGACTCTGTGTACATGCGGCTCAGGCTTGGGTACAAATATTACTGGGAATATGGGTTAGATGTTCATGATAATGACACGAGGTGTAAACTATGTGGTATGTTAAGGTCTCACACCCTGGCCCATTATGTTCTTGATTGTCCGTTGATTAATGTATATAGACACACTGAGATAAGGACTGTTCCTGAACAAATAGCCTGGATGTGTCACAACGGAAAGGTTGATGATATTCTTGAGAGATATAAGAATTTTGCACCAAGATTGTAATATTTTGTTGAATTATCTGCATGTCTCTTGCAAATTGTCTATACAGTATACCTAGGTCATAAAAGTATTTGTGTGTACGTCTGATAACATACTCCTTGTGAAGGAGGAAATGTATATGTTTACCTCTCAGAATGTTTGGCAATATGTTTATTTGTGATGTGTGGCTATGTATATATTAACACGTTGTACTGAATGGGGTGAGAATAGCTTGAGCTACTTCATCCCTTTGTGTGTATTTTACCTCAATAAACTTATTTCAATTTCAATTTCAATTTCAAATGGCAGGTCAACAGTGGCCATAAGATACAGCTTACGCCATG